TTATTAAGAAGATTTCGAGTAAGAGCAGCTCTATAGTCTTGAACTACTCTACATTTTGCATCGTTCGAGACGTGAGGGCCACCACAGTGTATACATTTTAAAACCCCTCGCATCAACATGCACTCTTATCAGAAGTACAACAACCAGTTAATGTAACTGATCTCCCATCATCAAGGATGAGTCATCCAACAGTATCATCAACACCGATACCAGTTAGTACTAAAAGAAATCGTAACGACATTAGTGGTATATCGGAATCAAACGTTCAAGTGTTATATCAACATCCTCCAACCTTTAGTGCCGTAAACCCTTACAATCTACCATATAAACGTTTGCGGGGGATGAATCAACCTAATATTCAACCATCGGACAATTTGCCAGAGCCATCAAGTGAAGCATTTCGTTTTGCAAGCACCAGATAACCGTTCTCTCCCTTCTCAATAGTTTTTGCACATGATGTTCGCGAAAAAATAGTGGTGGAGGATCTAGCTAAATATATTCACGAAAATCACAACTTCGATTTAAAAATGGCAGCTTATAGAAAAGGTCGTGCAGAAAATAACGAATGCAAAATCTTAATTTTCGTTGAAAATAGTGAATCCTTTTTATATCTTTATAAAGAAGAAAACTGGCCAACAACACTTGCCGGTAATAATTTTTCAACAAAAAAACCATCAATACCTCCACAACTTGCTTTGGTCATACCTGCCGTATCTTTACAAATAAACTGGGACGATTTTGTTCAAGATCTTAAAGATAATCATCCCAGCATATCAAATGTCGTTCGCTTAAAAAACAAGGCTCAACAACCGATAAGAGCAGTCAAATTGGAATTTAATTCTGTAACTACTCGTAGAGAACTACTAGAAGCTGGTGAAATTTCTGTTATGCATATCAAATATAAGGTGGCGGAATTCTACACACAAGCAAATGTGCTAATCTGCTCAAATTGCTTTGGTATTGGGCACTTCAGAAAGAATTGTCCACAGAAAAATGAATCTACATGCAAAACGTGTAGTGAAAAATATACCAATCTGAAAGACCATTTATGCTCTGGGGTTTTAAAATGTATACACTGTGGTGGCCCTCACGTCTCGAACGATGCAAAATGTAGAGTAGTTCAAGACTATAGAGCTGCTCTTACTCGAAATCTTCTTAATAATATCACTACAGAGAACATGGAACATGCTAATGCTGGTCAATTAATTAACAATGTGTCCCAAGCTACCTACACAACAACAAATGGCTTATCTTATGCAAACGTACTCAAAATGTCATCGTCGTACCCCAATGATCTATTACTTAAGAAGCTAGATAGCATTGTAAAGAAAGTAGAAGAAGAATCAATTGCAACTCGTCATTCTCTGGAAGTAATAAAAAACGAAATGAGAAATTGCTACGATGGAATGAAGCAGCAAGTTGAAACATTGGAAGAGAAATTGAAAGCAACAGAAAAGAAGTTTGAAGATTTTTCAATGAAGATAGGTGAAATCGTTCAAAACATATGTGCAACACTATTGTACCCTCAGAATTCGCAAGGACAACAATGGAAGTCTTATTGGCAGGAAAAAATTAAAACACTGGTAGAAGCTAGATCGACATCAGTTAAATCAACATAATAATGCATTTAGTTAGTGACAATTATAGTAATAAATACATCGATCATTACTCTCAATATGACACTAAGTTATCTCGCTTCTTAAATCAAGCTAAAAGTATTCTTATACCAAAAGATTTTAAGCTACTAAATGAAATAATAAACGAATGGAATATGAGTTCTTCTGTTAGGGATCTGAAAAGTTTATGGAAACAACATCAAAAAATGAATGATTATCACAGTCAAGAGCCTCCTACTCTACACATCCTCTGTTTTAATGTCCGTGGGCTTAATCTTCGTTGGGGAGAAGTCTCCCTACTAGTTAAACAACATCGTTCGGATATTATAATTTTAGGTGAAGTGGGTCATGTCGATGTTTCTCTAATTAATGCGGCCTTTGCAAATTATAATATATTCTATCAAGCGGGGAAAAATGCTCATGGTGGTGTATTTGTTATGTTAAACAAAAAGATCCCGGTGGTCAGAACAACTTGTTCGCTTCCGAATGTCTGTATACTAGATCTTCAATTTGAACAAAAAGTTCGACTTATAGCAATTTATGCACCCACGAGTAAAACGTGGGGCTGGTCTGAGCTTACGTCTTTAATAACCGATCGTTGTATTATATTAGGAGACTTTAATATTGATATTCTCCGTGATGGTGACAAAGCTGATAAACTACTCGAATGGATGGACTCTTGCGGTCTTGAAACAGTTACTCCTGACTCCAATAATCTCTTCGTTCGGATCGTACTATTGATTTTGCTGCCACCATAGGAATAGATCTATCTATTCAAACGTATGAAGGTGATACCACAAGTGGCGTATTAACAGGGGAAGAAGCGGCTAAATGTGAAAGCTCTAGAACAGTCTGGCCAGTCTTCTCGTTGATGTTATCTTATGTATATGATTACTGGGAAAAAGAGTGGAATGTGGAAGTTCTAGACAACACGTACGATTGTTTTATCTCATTCTTGGCTCTACTCAAAACCAGATGTCAACACTGCTTTACGTTTAATCTAGCTCAACCTTCGATCCCACAGGATCTCATCAAACTGCTGACTCAAAGCAGATCGCTATCGTTTAAAGCAAAGCGGAAGGGTGATATTTATCTTAGAAAAGAAGCCTGTCGACTAAGAAATTTAGCTCGCTACGAACTAAAACGTTTTCAAAAAGAACAGTTAAACAAACAACTAAAGGAGAGGCATTTATCAGGCGAGACGTCACGGCTCTTCTGGAATAAAACGAAAAGACAATTTAAACAAATATCGTCGTCCTTGAAAGGATTCTTCTCACCATGCGGAGAAACTATAAAGGATGCGCAAATACTGGTGAACATGGCTGCTGATTATTATGAAAAACTATTCGAAGCACCTACAGTGATACGTCCACACCCTTATGTTGATTCTCCTCAAATTCAATAGGAGAACAAGGCTGATACGATACCTCCAGTTAGATACCAAGAAATATTAAATATACTACGTTCAAGAAAGAAAAAACAATCGCTAGATATTCATGGTCTCTCTCCATATACACTTGATAAAATGCCGAAAAACTACTGGCACCTGCTCGCTCAGTTATATAGTCACTCCTTCGCAAATGATTATATCTTTAAAAAACTAAAAGAAGTACGCATGGTACTACTCGCAAAGAAAAATGCAATATGCACACCAGATCAAACAAGACCAATCTCTTTACTCGATTCATTTCTAAAAATACAAGAAAAATTATTTCTTAATCGATTTCTAGTGATCTTAAAGAATCGAGGTATTCTCCCTGATAATCGATCTGGCTTTCGTGCAGGTTATAGAACACAAACAAGAGTATTGTTACTAATAGATCAGATTGCATCTTACATGTCAAACAGCTCTCCCGTAGCAACCGTCTTTGTCGATTTCAAATCAGCATTCGATCAATTATGGTTTGATGGGTGCCTTGGTAAGCTACGCAGGATGGGAATACCAATTTCCTATATCAACTGGATTTGTGCATGGCTCAGTGATCGTAAAGCAGTTATAGAAATTCATAACAAAAGATCACGATGGATCCAAATAAATCGTGGGGGTCCACAAGGTTCTAGCTTCACACCCACATTATTCATTACATACCATAGTGATATGGCTGATTTTTTACCCGGAGCAGTGTCGTTCTTCTTCGCGGATGATTTGACAGCAGTTCTAGCAGGAAGAATAGGAATTCGATTTACTGAGCAATGTATCGATTTAGAAAGACGACTACAATCATTTATGGATCAGCTCGATTTTTACTCAATTCGATCAGTACAACCAATTAACTATTCAAAAACACAAGCGATGTTTTCAGCGAGAGCGGTTTACTACCCGAATCCGTTACCTCAGGTTCACTGTGGAAATCATAGCATTGAAAGGATTTCCTCATTCAAATACTTGGGTTATTGGTTAACAACGAAGCTGGGATGGGGAAATATGATCGACAGAACGTGTTTGATTGTTCGCCAGCGGACGGCTATGATAAACTCATTCAGATTAAATGGTACGTCATCAATACAACTTAGACGAGTTCTCTTCTCTACTTTCGTACTTCCACATTTCACCTGGATATTTGCACTATATCCTCTGTTTACAAATATACAACGTACGAATCTTAATCACCTGTATTTCACTCTTCTAAAACGTATATACCGATGTCAATACTGGGAGGATCTTCTCTTCTCATCACTATATAATGAAAAACAGCTGGATGATCTCTGCTATGCTTACTGGGAGAAGTATCTGAAATCTATGGGGAACTCCAAAGATGGATATCTATTAATGGAACAATCGGAAACGAACGAACACAGATCGAACTGGTTGGATAGTCATCGTACAGTTAGTTGCCTACGTAGATCTAAGAGATTCACTCCGCATATGAATGTACTTGATCATACTTTGCTCTGGATGGTTGAGCACGGGACGTCAGACTCAATCGTGAGCTTCACGAAGGAAGATCTGCAGTGTTTTGCAGAACATCCTGAAAGTTTCATATAAGGTTAAAAAAAAAAAGAGGTCATCATGACAAAAAAGATGAAGTATGAATCAACAAGAGAGAGAGAAAGAGAATACGTGAGAAGAGAACAATCACATGGAAAGAAAGATTTGTTTTTTTTGAATGTTGGACGCATCCGTATACATCATTACTACTCATCAACAATAATACTGATACTGCTTCAAATATTTTAAATATATTATCTAATCACCACGCGAAGGCATCATGCATACTTTCACTCAAACCTGCACCCCATTAGATACCTCAATAACATTATCACTTGTTTTCATCGTTAAAGAAGCATTGCGCTGGCGCTGTATCGATCTATATTATTACGTATCTTCTTAATGGCATCTCCTATGTACGCTCTTGTAGTGTTTATTGGCTTTCTCCCGGTGATCTACAGTTCGAATGATAGTGTAAAGTCGCAAGATATACGATCCAATCCAGCAGGATCAAGACTAGATGAGATGTTGATCTCAGCGCTAAAGGCACAAGACAGAGAGAAAGAAAAAGAAGATCAACAAAACCAAAACCAAAACCAAGGTCTAAGTAACACAATAGTGAATCACAATAATCAGTTGAAAAACATCGAGAATAAATTCAACCACATAGTGAACAATTATGCCAACTCAAGTCACATTAAAGAAATAATAGAAAAAACAAAGCATATAGAAAAGCACATTTTTGGTCCTCCACAACCGCATAACTCGTGGAGAGAATTGATCCTACTTTTAGTAGCTGGTGTTGCGTTAATATTTATCGCAAATAATCTGTTTAAGAAGGTTATTCTACCACGGTTTAAAAAATCCATCTATGATAATCATACTGGAGATCTACTTCGTTCTGGCAACATTAACTCGATAAGTAAACAAGTAGCAGATAAAATACAAGGAAATTGGTATACTGAGACTACCGGGTTCGAGGAAAAAGCACTTACTCATCGTGAAACAAACATCCAATTAGACAAACTGAATGAAGCACTCCGTATAATAAATGAAGCGGCCCAAAACCTCAAAGTTCCCATGCGTGTCGATCAACAGCAAAAATAACATAGTACTAGATATTCGGCGCTCTGGTCAATTACAATCAGAGCTAATTTGGAGCACGTTTTTTCTTATTCCAGCATTCACTCTAGTAGCTTATTTATTTATTTTGTGCTGCGATCATCTTTTAAGCACTATCAGTATCATTATCATTATTCATACGCTTTTCTGGTGCCCCATTAGTATTTCTCTCCTTATTTTCGCTCTCTTGTCGTTCTTTTTAAAGTATCTTTTTCGTCTCATTTTTATCTTTAGATTTTTCTTCTTCTTCTTCTTGTTCTTCTTCTTCTGCTTATTTTCGTCTTTTTTTTTTCTCTTTTCTCTTTTCATTTTTGTTTTTAGCTACTCTGTCTCTTTATGACCGTCAGGGTCATAGGGAGAACCAAGGCATAATAAAAAAAAAAGCGATGCGCCAATAATCTTTTTTTTCTTTTCTGTCATTGTTGTTATTATGAGCGGTGCAAGTCGTGTAGAAGCATTGATTAATGACTAATAGTCAATAAACACATCGATATAAAGGAAAGGCAGTTTCAAAAGACCTTCATTGTAAAAAAAATACCGTGCTCGAAGGCAAACTACTTTTATGGCTAATCAAATACCTTCGCCTTTTTTAGCATTACCCGTTGACCTTGTCTATCGCATTTTGGACAATCTCGATGTATTGACAATTTTATATTCACTTCGTAATGTGTGTCTCAAACTGAATATGATCATTGATACATACCATCGGTATCAGGTAAATTTCAACGTTCTCAAGGAATCAGATTGCTTTCATCATTTAGTTCAACAAATTATTATTTTAGTTTTTGATTTTAGACTACTCATAGTTTGATGACAATATTTTAAAATGAATGAATATTATCCCAAAAAATAAAACAAAGAATCATTTCGTTAGACAAGCTATTCCAAAAGACTTCATTGCGTTTCTTATATTCTCTTAAATGCTGTATTGAATAGAAAACAAAGTTACGCA